AGCAAACTCTCACATCCACAAAATATGTAAAATTACACCATCTGTTTCAAGAAAGTTGCTTTCATTAGTACCAGATATCAAAGTAAGGGTTAATATTTAGAAGTTGCCAACACCTACTTATATACTGTATTGAGTCTTATATAGAGAAGAAAAAATTATTCTATGACATTTCCGTCAGAATTTTAAATTTCTCAAGTATTTCAATCAAGAAAATTACCCACAATATTAATTGTTCAAAGTGGGCAGGGCTTTAAAGTAGAGGGAATATGTTGAGTAAAATATTTAAAAAGAACACCAAACAAACCTTCAAAAACCTTACTTAACATTTCCTAACTTGTAAAAACGTTAAGAATCACTTTCGAGTTTATGGATCCTTCCCCATCTGAGCACTGAAAACAACACCAACATACTAAAAACATGAATAAGGTAAACTTTTATAGTTTGGGATTTGTAAAGGTTAGGAAAAGTTAGGAAAATACAAAAAAAAATTACAAAGCGACAAGCATGTCGTCAATATTAGCCCAAATCAATACTGTACACAGTGGTCCCTCGGTTAACGAGCGCCTCGGTTAATGAAATTTCGGATAACGAGCTACCTCCCATAAGATTCTTAAATTCGGTTAACGAGCAACCCCTCGGTTAACGAGTTTCTTACGAGCCGACCTCAACATGTTTTGGCTTGCACTGGCCGGTCAACCAGCTGTAGTATTAGTCCGCCAATACATAAATCGGCTCTAGGGCTTAAATTCCTTACTATTTTAGTATATATCAAGAAGTTTATACTATTCAATAATTTTACAAGTTTAATATTCAATTTTTTAGTCATTTTAACAATTATTGAACATAATTGAAGGTAAAGTGACTAGTTTAATGCGCGGCATCTAGCCTCTTAACACAGCAAACAGGCGTTAGTCTCTCTCTGTTTTCACTGGAGGTAACATCTTGCTTGAGACTCTCTCCAACTAAACGCTTTTTTTCTGTTTCCAAGCAAATTATTGGTCATTTTGAAATTTATTTTACATACTGTATTGACAATATATAGTGCAGTGCAGTGTTATTCTAAAGAAAATATTCTTTATTTACAACAAGTTTAACTTTGAAAAGCACGTGTTGACATTGTTTGAATCCAGCATGGGGCCGAAGAGATCAAGAAAAGCTATTTCAATCCAAACCAAGCAGGAAATCATAAAAAAAACATGAACAAGGCATTAGAACAAATGCGCTATGCAAAGAATATGGCATGTCAACATCAACTGTGTCGACAATTCTTGCACAGAAAGACAAATTTAAAGAAGTGAAAGTGGGAGACAAATCTACAAGAGTGTTTAAAAGTAGATACCTAATCGCAGAAACTGAGAGGTTACTTATCATCTGGATTAGGGAAAAACAGATGAAAGGTGATTCAGTTTCTACTGAATTCATTTGTGAAAGAGCCAGGGAGATTTACGAACATTTAAAGGCAGATCAACCTGGTTCTTCAGGCACAGAATTTGAAGATTTTCGGGCCAGCAAAGGCTGGTTCGAAAAATTTAAGAAAAGAAGTGACATTTTCAGTGTTGTTAGGCATGGTGAAGCTGCTAGTGCTGATAAAGAAGGGGCAGCAAAGTTTTTAGATGAATTTAAAAAACTGATGGAAGAAGAAAATTATCTTCCACAGCAAGTATTCAATGTGGACGAAACTGGGCTGTTCTGGAAAAAGATGCCCAAAAGAACATTCATCACCAGAGATGAAGCCTCTTTACCTGGGCATAAACCCACGAAAGACCGTCTCACTCTATTGCTTGGTGCCGATGCTTCAGGGGATTTCTGACTGAAGCCTATGCTTGTCTACCACTCTGAAAACCCCAGGGTGTTCAAGCAACAGAAAGTGGTAAGAACAAAGCTTGGAGTTTATTGGAAGTCCAACCGTAAGGCATGGGTGACAAGACAGCTCTTTAATGAATGGGCTGTTGATGTGTTTGGCCCTTCTGTCAAGAGCTACCTAACCACCAATAAACTCCCTTTAAAGGTTCTTCTCCTTATGGATAATGCTCCTGGTCATGACCCTGACCTTGCCAGCAATTTGGAGTATCAATTTGACTTTGTGAAAGTGTTGTTTTTGCCTCCAAACACTACATCAATCATACAGCCAATGGACCAAAATGTAATCAGCAACTTCAAGAAGTTGTACATGAAGAAAATGTTAAGGAGGTGTCATAAGGCAACTTCCAATGATCCTGAACTAACACTGAAACATTTCTGGAAGACACAATTCAACATCCTGGAGGCTGTAAAATTGATTGTGTCATCATGGCAAGAAGTCTCCACTAGATCCCTCAATTCTTCATGGAAAGCACTGTGGCCATCAGTAGTCCATGATTTTGAGGGATTTGAGGAAGAAACAGAGTTGGACCAGGAGATTGTGTCCATTGGTCAGTCATTGGGCCTTGAAGTGGAGGAGGAGGATGTGGAGGAGCTTGTGATGTCTCATGAGGAGGAACTTACTCCTGATGACTTGAAGCAACTGGATGAGATGTTACAGGTAGAGGCTGACAGTGGTGAGGAGGAAATTGAAAGTGATGACCATATGTCAGCTAAACAGTTGAAAGATGTGATTTACTACTGGGAGAAGTTCAGGGAACTGGCTTCAAAGCACCCAGAAGTGGAAAAAACTGAACTAACTTTGTGTCATGTTGAAGACTCAGTGGTCTCCTTCTTTAATTAAACATAAGTTAATGGTGAGGAGGACAGATGCCCCACAGACCACAATTGACACTTTCTTCAGTAAAAGGCAGAGGGAACAAGGTGCGATCCCTCAGCCTTCCACTTCAAGAAGGAGAGAGGATGTTCATGGTGGAGAATCTGTCAGTCCAGAGCAGGGGTCACCAAACTACGGCCCGCGGGCCGGATCCGGCCCGCGACGTCAGTTCATCAGGCCCGCCGACGGTACTTGAATTTGCTTGATAAAACGTATGGAACACGAGACGTTGTGATACAATTTAAATTTAAATATTATGCGGCCAGCGCTCGTCATTCTTTCAGTTATCCGGCCCACTGTGAAAAAAGTTTGGTGACCCCTGGTCCAGAGGTTCCTGACATTTTCATGGAAGGTGACTCACCTTCCAAGAAGCAGTAAAATGCTTCTCCTCCGCCTCCACTTCCTTCTCTTCTCCCTTCTCCTCCTCCACCTCCCACTTCAAATGCACATCATCATCATCATCCAGGAGCCTTCTACATACACACCTCAAAGTAAGTGAACTTTTCTACCATTTTTGTTGAATTTAGGCAATTTTCGGTGAGCTGGAACCAATTACCCAAAAACCCATTGAAACAATGGTTTCGGTTAACGAGCAACCTGCTGGAACGGATTGTGCTCGTTAACCGAGGGACCACTGTATAGTTCTGTGCTTGGTCACTACCAAACATTTACCCACGATTGTCTTCTAAAACTTAGATGGTGGGTGAGCGAGTGTGTCTGTGGAGCCATTGGATTTGTTAGCAAGTTTCATGTAGTGTATAAAGAATAAATGTATATAGGAACAATTGTAAGTTTATGTTTATGGTAGGTCCCTAATAATGTCAAGCGTAAGGACAGTCCCTTTGAGGGATATTGGTGAGTTTTTCTTTATGCACCGGTCTTGCTGTCACTGTTATTAATATGTATTTCGTAATGTTTAGACAATTCTAAGAACCTTTTCTTCTATAATATTTCAGCCGGAAATTAAGGATAACTGAAATATTAATTTTTCAATATTATTAAATTCACTCTGTCACAAGTGTCGCCATGTCTTCATCTCTGTGAGATGATGTTATAGGCGCATTATGCATGTGCAATATTGACTGACGTCATCCAGTCATGACCAATGATGTATCACCACGCAAATTCTTTTCGACCGATCACATTTGATTTTTTCAAAGGAAGTAGCCTGAGTTTTATGAGAAAGACGCTCATTCTATCCAATTCTTAGGTATCCCTGGTCCTTCCACTTCTAACTAAGGTATTGTACTTTCAGACATGGCGCGCCCCAAGTTTTAAACTACCGAAATATTTAGATTAGTTTAAGCTAGGCCTACCGGGGGTATAGGGCCAGATCCCCCGGCTAGGGGTTAGGTTAGGTTGGGTTAGGTTAGGTTGGGTTAGGTTAAGTTGGGTAAGGTTTTGTTAGGTTAGATGATTCGTTTTCGTTTTCTCCCTCACTCAAAGCCCCCGATTTCCCAGGCTCTCTCCCTATTTTTGTAGGGGGGAGGGAGGAGGGGTCTCAAAACTAGTGATTTCCGGTGGAAATGAATGTCAAATTCATTCGAAGCTCATCAAATATCATTGGAAAAACTCAATTTATAGTATCACACCGGTCTTTATTTCAATATTAAAAATAGGATTGTCCTATGTATTTTGATGAGTTTCGAACGACTTTTATATTCATTTCTATTGGAAATCACGTGTTTTAAGATACCCCACACACACACAATCATAACAGAAAAAGTGGGATTTATTTTTTAGAATAAATAACATAAATTATATTAACAAACAACCAACCAAGCAAACCTAACCTAACCTGCTGTTCATGCTCCAGACGCTAAAAGAGCGAAGACGAAGGCCCGGAGTGATAAGCAAACAAAACTTGAAAAATTAATATCTCGATTATCCTTAATATCCGGTGGAAATATCATAGAAGAAAAATGCCTAAGATTTGTGTAAACATTACGAGATACATATTTTTAATGCGGAAATAAAGACCGTTGTGATACTATAAATTCACCAAGCATATTTCTAATACCCAAAGGCAGACCGGTGCATAAGAAAAAACTGACCAGGATATTTAGTGAGGAAGGGATGTGGCGTGGTAAGCTGGAGTGAAGGGATCCATAAGCTGACAATATTATAGCAACTTAAAGAGTGGGGACTGTACCCTATTAACTCTTGGGAAAAATAAAAGTATCTAAGAATAAACCGATTTATACAGAATATTATAAATTACAAATGTTAAACTACTTGAGGTGTATGATTAGTGACTACTTACCTCCTTTTCTCACTGTATCAAACTGTCCTACTTCAAGTTACTTTATCAAATATCTCTGAATAACAAATGTAAATAATGTTCAAGCGTCCTTTTTATAATAAACATTTTCGTTTTCCTATAATTCGCTCAAAGTTATTAGCACTTCTTCCAATACGAAAAGGACAACCAATGTATATTTCAATGTGTGATTCATTAACCTTTGAACATCATATATTGCCTTAATGAACATTACGTTAGCGTCTACGTCACTATGTGCAATCAGGGTTACCAACTCGGGTCTTCAAATGTCGCTAGGCTGGTACCTAAAAGTAGCTAAATGTCGCTAAATCTTCCATGGAAAGTCGCTAGCTATTATTCCCCCCCTTCAGTAATTTGATGCAAATAATATTTTCATAATGACGACTATAATGGACGGAGTATAAATAAAATGCATTATGTATAAATAAAAATATTATTTTTTTAAAGTTTAATGTGCACACTTACCTATTATTCAAGAGTAATTGCATCCCAGTCCTCTCCGTAGTGTGAACAACTGTAGAGCTGGAAGCATGTGAAGTGCTTGGTTCAGGTTCTCTTGTAACTGTATGCCTCCACAGTCCCTATCTTTCTTAAAATATCACTAGGAAGTTCATAACTTGCACAACAGGTGTTCTGTCTTTTTAACCCATACTTTATTGTAAGAATTGCCTTTAATGTCGATAGTTTCATTTTGTTGCGCAATTTTGATTTCACAAAGTTCATATTACTAAATGTGCGCTCTACATCTGCGTTTGAATGCGGAAGAGGTAAGGCAGCGAGTGCAATTTCAGCCAGATCATGGTAAGGGTTTTCACCCAGTGGCGTAGCTAGAGTGTGTGCCGCCCGGGGCGGCCCTTGAGTTTGCCGCCGCCCCCACCCCCCCTTGACCCTACAAAAAATACATATTGCACAGTGACTCACTCTTTTATATATATATATATATATATATATATATATATATATATATATATATATATATATATATATATATATATATATTAAATAGTTTGCCTTACTGTTGTCAGACAAAAGCCACCCCGATCAAAGTAGGGGGCTTTTGTCTGGGTGGCTTTCGTCTGGGGGGCTTTTGTCTGGGTGGCTTTTGTCGGGGGGGCTTTTGTCTGTACCCCAGTGAGGATAGTGTCTTAGTATAAAATCGCAATGCTGTGAAACAAAATCTTAATATTTAATCTCAGTACCGCAGCAAAAGTCACATCAATATTTTTTAACCAATACTTTAATATTTCTTACCTTATAGTATTATGTCTTCCAACGAAGTAAATAACTGGATCGAAAACACAAGAGAACTTAAAAGTCGTCTAGCCTCCCCTCGTCTTGTCACGATGGAGACTTGTGCAGAACTGAAGTGAATTGCTTGTAACTGGTGGATTGGTCGGCTGTACATGAACTGATATGACCCGAGACTGCATGGTTTTGCAGCTACTGGAGACGTTAATTCTTCCCTTTGTATCGGCGGCAAGTTAATCCTCGTCGTGTCTGACCTAACACCTGACCCACACCACATGAGCTCACTGGCGTACTTGTTTGAAGTTGTTTCCTTAATCCTCAACAGGTTACAGGTTGTGTGTGTGGCGGGGGGGGGGGCGCATAGCAAGGGTGTACGTAGCTCATGACGTGGCCGTGATGATGTGGGTCAGGTGTTAGGTCAGACACGACAAGGATTAACTTGCCGCCGATACAAAGGGATGGATTAACGTCTCCAGTAGCTGCAGATATGGGTGATGAGCAGACTGTGGGGTATGAGATTGTTTGGTTCACACTCAGGATGGGATGGAGAAAGGAAACTCACAATGTGCTCTCTATATGCATGTTGTATTGGATGTACAATGCAGCTTGGTGCTGGGAAGGCAGCATGGTTACAAGCGTGATGTAGAGAGCTGGTTGGTGAGGACGCTCAGAGAAAGACAGCTTGTGGGTCGCCATGCTCGCCAGCGGGAGAGAGGACCGCCAGGCAGGCGGAGGTGTTGCTGGCTGGTTGGTGTAGGTAGAAGGAGAGACAGATCACCACGAGGTCAGGTCTTAAATAGCGGGGGTAGGCGTGGCTTAGCAGTTGACCCCCGCTCCGTGGTGTATGGCGGCGCTGGTTGACCTAGACCACGAGGCATACACTGGGGAATTGGTGGGGTCGGCTAGGCAGCGACAAACAGCGTTTGTAGGGGAGAATTCCACTACAATACTCCCCCTTCCCTCCAGGCTGTGTAGGAGACTTGTTGTCTGCAGAGTTGCATAGCACATGTGAGGCAGAACGGGCGGTGCATGCCTCATGTGAGACAACGGCGATGGCGTGGATGAGCCGGTCGCTGGGGACAACTGTCTAGATACACAATATCTGTGGGAGTAGAGAGGGAGAATAAGGGTGTGTGGAGGCGATGAATTTTGTGCTTCCCTCACGGCAGGTACAGAGTCGCCAGATGCGCCTGCTGGGGTGTGTGGGCCTGGTTCAGGAGCAGGGGCTGTGTCAGCAGCAGCGGATGAGGGCTCGTGACAGCAGCTGGGTCCACGACAGCAGCAGGGTGCAGGACATTAGCAGGGAGTACCTGAGGGAGAAAAGAGGGGTGTGTGGGTCCGCACTCAGGAACAGAGGCCGCATCAGGGGCGGCAGGGGTTACTGCTGGGCCGGGGTCGGCGTCTGAGGCAGGACGGGTGTGCTGGGGTCGGTAGGACGTGGTGCTTGGGGCAGGAAGAGGAGCTGGTGTCTGCTTAGAGTAGCATACCCCACAAATGGTGACTCCCGGAGATTCGCACTCACACAGGATGGAGGAGAAACTGATCACGCTCCCAGTCTTCAAGCAACATGGAAGACTGGCTTATCCACCCAGAAGCAGCTCTCATCGGCTCTACAGCTACTGTCTCTACACCGCAGGTCAGACACCCTAGAGCAGCTCTGCTACTCTAAGCAGACAGTCGCTCCTCTTACGACCCCAGCACACCCGTCCTGCCTCAGACGCCGACCCCGGCCCAGCAGTAACCCCTGCCGCCACTGATGCGGCCTCTGTTCCTGAGTGCGGACCCACACACCCCTCTTTCTCCCTCAGGTACTCCCTGCTAATGTCCTGCACCCTGCTGCTGTCGTGGACCCAGCTGCTGTCACGAGCCCTCATCCGCTTCTGCTGACGCAGCCCCTGCTCCTGACCCAGGCCCACACACCCCAGCAGGCGCATCTGACGACTCTGTACCTGCCGTGAGGGAAGCACAACATTCATCGCCTCCACACACCCTTATTCTCCCTCTCTACTCCCACAGATATTGTGTATCTAGACAGTTGTCCCCAGCGACCGGCTCATCCACGCCATCGCCGTTGTCTCACATGAGGCACGCACCGCCCGTTCTGCCTCACATGTGCTATGCAACCCTGCAGACAACAAGTCTCCTACACAGCCTGGAGGGAAGGGGGAGTATTGTAGTGGAATTCTCCCCTACAAACGCTGTTTGTCGCTGCCTAGCCGACCCCACCAATTCCCCAGTGTATGCCTCGTGGTCTAGGTCAACCAGCGCCGCCATACACCACGGAGCGGGGGTCAACTGCTAAGCCACGCCTACCCCCGCTATTTAAGACCTGACCTCGTGGTGATCTGTCTCTCCTTCTACCTACACCAACCAGCCAGCAACACCTCCTCCGCCGCTGCCTGGCGGCCTTCGCTCCTCCTCCGCCTGCCTGGCGGTACTCTCTCCCGCTGGCGAGCATGGCGACCCACAAGCTGTCCTTCTCTGAGCGTCCTCACCAACCAGCTCTCTCTACATCACGCTTGTAACCATGCTGCCTTCCCAGCACCAAGCTGCATTGTACATCCAATACAACATGTATATAGAGAGCACATCGTGAGTTTCCTTTCTCCATTCCATCCTGAGTGTGAACCAAACATCTCATACCCAAAGACCCAAAAGTGCCGCCCCAAAAGTGCCGCCAGACCGCCCCCCTAGCTACGCTAGTGTTTTCACCTGTCGCATCTCTGTAATTTGCCACTTCTGACCACAATTTTAGGGTGTTAGATGTTTCTGTCCAGATTGTGTGATGCAGTTTTTTCCACTGGAAATCAATCTTGGTAAGGGTGCTGGAATCTTCTGTAAATAAGTGTGCCAAACCAAGTATATCTGATTTAATAGGCTTCAAGCATTCATCGGCACTCAGAAAAGAAATAGACTGCAGCACACGAATGTTGTCAGGTAAGCGTTGACCAAGTTGTTTTATGAGTTCAACCCGTTCAAATGCATTGTCCCTGTAACCCCGTTGCTATATATTATGGCTCGAAATTAGGAAAACCGAGTTTTCATGGACAGTCCAAAAGTATCCAGAAAGTCGCTAGATTTCTGTGGATATTTCTAGATTTGCGACAAGTCGCAAATCGCTCTAAAATGTCGCTAGAAAAAACAAAAAGCTCTAGATCTAGCTACAAAGTCGCTAAGTTGGCAACTCTGGAGTCCGTTGAAAATCCGGATTCAGATAGGTATTACAGTATTTAATAGTTATCATACAAACATTAATTAATATAATCAACCCTAAACTATTCTAAATTAAGTAGAGCCTGATTGCGTTAAATATTATAACGTGTTATTTTGCTTTTTATACTTTCACTTTTATCCTCTTCGCCACTGATCGGCTCGTTAGCCGCTTGGACGATCGGTCATTTTTTTTTTATTGGGCACTGCCCTACATCCTTGTGTAAGGTGAAGCGAAGAAGCGTTTACAGGGCCCAACAGGGAAGCATGATAAGTTCATGCTTGCCTTTGTCTCATGAGTTAAGGGCGTAGAAGTCTGAAGAGTCAAGGGCATAGAAGCCTGAAGAGTCAATGGTTTTATGTCATCAAGTTATTGGAAGCTCCAACAACTTGTCCCTGAATACGAATTCGCAACTTTCGATTTACACCAGGTACCTACTTTACTGCTAGGTGAACAGGGACTAGGGGGGGTAGAAAGTATGTCCAAACAACTTCCACCGGCCCAGGAATCGAACCCGTGACATCTCGCTTGCGAAGGCAAGAGCGGTGCCACTCTACCACCAGATTCAATGCCATAATGTGAAGAGGATGCACCAGGAGCATACCAACGGTAAGGAGGCGTATCATATGTCCCAACGTCATGAAGAAACTGCACTATTTGAGACTGAATGTGAGAAGGACCTAGATGTGTATGTTGACAATGAGCTGAAGTTCTCGGGCCATTGCGAGAAGAAGGTAAATCAGACAAATAAATTATTGGGTCTTATAAGAAGGTCGTTCAGATATC